TCACTGTGTTGTTCAATCTCTTACCTCACTTGTTCAGCCAGGGAAAAGATTTATCTTCAAGATTACATTTTTTTGCAATTCAGTTAATTGATCATTTGATTACACAGAAGCAATCAATTCTCTGAAACAAATGTCCCTTGACATAATGTGGGATTGTTAGCACACAAAAAATTATCATTATTTAGGAATGTAGAAAGAGAATTAGAAAACTTTTCCTGTTGTAGCTCATGACAAAAACATAAGTAAATTGCTTCTGCAATTTCAACTCATTGCCTCATGTTAATAATTTAGGCAGTAATTTCTTCAGTGCCATCATGACATCCTTGTTCCTCAGACTATATATAATGGGGCTTATCATCGGTGTCAAAATGGTATAGAAAAGAGAGATCAGTTTCCCCTTTCCTTTGGGTTGATCTGATTTGGGCTGTAAATAAGTCATACCAGCTGTTCCATAGGATAAGACTATAACTGTCAGGTGAGAAGAACAGGTGGAGAAGGCTTTGACCCTCCCTCTAGCTGATGACAATTTCAGAATATTAGAGATAATTTTGGCATAAGAGGCAATGATCAACAGAAAAGGAACCATGAAAAACTCCACAGCAACAAGATAGACCAATGTCTCATTCACAAAAGTGTCCCCACAAGCAAGCTTGAGAACTGGGGGAATGTCACAAAAGAAATGATTAATTATGTTAGATCCACAAAAGGATACAGAGAAAATCTGGCATGTTTGCCCAATTTCAAATGGAAATCCACTAATCCAGGAACCAGCCACCAGCTGGATACAGAGCCTGTGGTTCATGACTGCAGGATAGTGCAGAGGGTTACAAATGGCCACGTAGCGGTCGTAGGCCATCACTGTCAGAAGCAAACACTCTGTGCCTCCAAAGATAAGAACAAAACACATTTGTATAGCACAGGCAAAAAAAGAAATATTTCCATTCTTGGTCCAAATGTCTCTGAGCATTCTTGGGACAGTGGTTGTTACATAACAAATTTCCAGGAAGGAAAAATTGGCAAGGAAAAAATACATGGGGTTCTGGAGAGTAGGATCAATTCTTGTTATCAGTATTATGATGCTATTGCCCAACAAAATAATGAGATATATGACTAAAAATATTCCAAAGAGAATCCACTGGAGACTGGGCACATCAGAAAACCCCAGGAGAACAAACTCCATCACAGTATTATTTGATTCTTCTGCTTTTAATTTGCTTTCCATCTGGGATATGATAAATTCAAGATGGTTAATTGATTCACATTTTTAAAAAAGCATTTCCACTTCTATTAATTGGGTAAGTTCTTAAATTAATTTCACCTTCACCCTGCTCCGTTTCTATGGACTGTGATTTCAAACTTCGGCAATGAACTTGTATAACTCAATTCAACAAATAAAATCCTGGTATATTTCTTAAACTTAGATTATAATGATACTAGAGATATTGATAAATGCACACTGTTATTTAGAGTTCATTGAATAGGAAAGAGCTCTGATTACTTCATTCCAAAAATAGTCGGGCGTTTTCAATTGTTTAGTCTCAGTTCATGATTTTTTTCTGCATAGAGATCTTTCCTTAAAAA